ACTCGGTTCGCAATTGACCTTCAATGCTGACGCTACTCAGATGCCAGTTAGCTGATAGCTGCTAGTTGGTCGCATAATTTGTTTGCCACACATACACACACACACATTAACACACAGACGTGCAGCACACGTCAAGTGTATCCATATATATTCTATAAATAATTTTTTGGCTCATTTGAATGTCTGGCAGTCGTCTGGCTGCGTGTTTGCTCAGTTGCAAATAGCTATTAAAAACTATTGATGTGTATGTGTGTCTGTGTGTGTGTGTGTGGGTAGTTAAATTGCGGCACGTGTTCTCTATGCGACCAATCATATTGGAAATGTGAAGCACGCAGCTTCAACAAATCCAATAATATGCAATTTCCATACGAAAACAAATGTTGTACTGTGGTGCTTAGTTGTAAAAAGTTTGAAAAATAATTGAAAAATAAAAAAAATAAATAAATAGTAAAATAGAAAACGAAAAACATAAAATAAATAGCATTGGAAATACCCCTGAAACCATGGAACACACGCACACACACGCAGGCATTTATTCAGTTTTTGTTAATTTATTAAAAATATATATTATATATATATATATGTATATAAGTTATAAAATAAAGAACAACCTTATTAAAGAACTCAACTAACTACAACTTAATAAATAATTTCATTTCGTCTGCAGCATTAACTACTTGTTCAACTCTTAGACTTATGTTAAATGTTTTAATTACGAAATTACAAAAATTAATACAATTGCAAGTCAAGGAAAATCTGTTTTGGCTCTTAAGGAAGTGAAAAAATTAAAATATTTATAAAGTACAGTGGGCACAGCGTAAGTTGAACACACTACTTAGCTCTGTTCCATATGAATACTTGAGAAAAGTGAAACAAAATATGAAATCGAATCGATTGCATTTTCGCATTGCGCTTTTCGCCTTTCTCTTGGTTTGCTGCTGCTGCTTGAGTGACATAGCATTTAGCTTTTTGACGCTCACACTTGGCCATGCAACTCTCTTGATTACATACATATTCGAAAAATTCTTAATTTCATGTTTAAATTTCATGCTGGTTTTTGTTTTTGTTTGGTTTTTTGGTGAATATTCTTAACTATGTCAAGATTTCGTTTATGTGTAAGAGTGTGTGTGTGTGTGTGTGTGTGTGAATGAAGCTGTCATGAGTTTCGCTTAGCCTGCCGAGTGGCATAGCTCGCTGCTATGTAACGGCATTGTGAACTAAATAAATTAGAAATTCTAGACTTCAATTTTGTCGCATTTCCTGTACCTAAACACATGTTTACACACAGACACACACACATTTAAATTTCCGTTTCCTGTGGCAGCCTTGGTGTCGTCATCATCGCCGTCGTCGTCGCTGTGGTCGTTGTTGTTGCTGCCTGTGGGTGTTTGTTTGGCTTTGGGGGCGTGGCTGGCGGCGCTGCCTTTGCCACCGCCTGACTGCGTCCTGACAGCAGCTTAGCCTGCTTCTCGAGCAGCTCACGCTGATCCTTGGGCAGCCAGCGTGAGAAACGTGACTCGGGTATGCCCAGCTGATTGCCGCGCTGCAACAGATCCGTGTCCGTGTCGCTGTCCGGCGTCGCTGCCTCCGCTGCCTGACCCATTAGCACATTACGCAGCGGCTTTGTGGTGGGATTATAGACGCTGCTCTCCCGATCTGTGCCATACTCAAATGAATCATCCTCGTCGTGAACGCGTCGCTCCACCGAGAAGCGTTCATGGTTCTGCCCATGCCCATTGCCACGCCCATAGCCAGCGCCATTGCCATTGCCATT